GTTCTATAGGGCTTAACATCCCTAACGAACTTTCAGAGTATTGCAGCTGGACTGGACAGGTCATCAACGTTAACAAATCTTCACTAATTTTCAGCAAAAATATGAACAGGAGGAGAAAGAGGAGTATCTCTAAGGTATTTGGTATCAAGGAAGCTAAGGCGTTCAGTTATCTGGGTATTATATTAACTCAGAGACGGCTTGTAGCATCAGATTTTTCAATTATTTTAGAGAGAGCAGCTAATAAAATGGATGTTTGGGGTAAGAATTTTATATCAACGGCGGGAAGAATTATCCTCATCAAATCAGTGATTCAAGCTATACACGTTTTCTACTCCACGTTAGCTTTGGTACCGTTGTCTGTTCTAAAAAAACTGGACAGAATTTACAGGGAGTTTCTATGGAATAAAAGTTACGGTATTAATGGATTGCACTATGTAGCTTGGAAAGAAGTATGCAAACTAATAAAACATGGAGGACTAGGAATACATTCTGCAATTGAATCAGGGGAACCTCTTTGAGCTAAATTGGTTTGGAGATTCTTAAACAAGCAAAATACGCTACTTAGCAGATCTATATCAGCTAGATATGGAAAATTTGGTGTTGACGAGATATGTTGACAAAACCCTTCTTTAACTTGGAAATTATTTCTTAGTGGTGCTAAAGCTTTAACACATATTGTGAGATGGAACATTAAAGATGGGGTTTCCATTAATATCTTGAAGGACATTTGTTTATTGGATAGAAAATTGGAAAGCTGGCCAACCTTTATTTCAATTGAGATTGACAAACATCCCAATCTTTTAAGCTTCATCACAGATGGAGTTTGGAACATAGAAGAACTCTGTAAATACTTTGGGGATGAAATAGTCAAGCTCATTTTTCTTCTTGGCATCCCCCTCCACCCAGATGGATCAAAATTAACATAGATGCATCTCTACAATGCTCTAATGAAGTTGGAATTGGTGGTATCTTTAGAGACTACAAAGGTAGAATGCTTCTATCTTTCGGTTTTTCTCTTATACATTGGGATATTAGAACACTTGAATGGATGGCTGATCGGTCACTCGGGTAAATTCATTGAAGATTGGATGCTCAATGCTAAAGGCATAATAGTGGAAGGAGATAATGCCAATGTTATGTCTCATTTTCAGAACTTGACAAAGGTGGACAAAAGACTATTGGATAAAGCTTCTAGAGAGGACTTGGATTTTCTTAATGGCTTTGAGGTAATTCTTTTTTAGTTTGTTAATAGAAACTATAATAAGTTAGCCCATTGGTGTGCTAACCATGCTTTAAATGGTAATTTTCTTTGGGATGTTCTAGAAGTTAATAAGGTTCCTCCTACCATTTATTATTTGTTAAAGGCGGAAAGTGATAGATCCTCTATCACTTAGACTTTTGTACTTTTTTTTAATTTTCCTTTAAATGCATTCTGCAATTCCTAAAAAAAAAAAAATCAAATCAAAGCTTTGAAAAAATCTTGATTTGAAGAATGGCATCAATCAAAGACTTTCTAAAGTACTTAGATAGCTCCACCTAGTTCCAAATATCACCAGAAACAAAATTCTCCAAAGGAGGAAAATCCTTCTCTTCCACAGCAATGAAGGTAGGCCATCTATCAAATCTTCTATCTAGGACCCAAATATCATTTAAAATGTTAACAGAAGAATCTGAAGCAATCCTCCATCTCACAGTTGGCTTTTGCTCCACTCAAGAATATCTTCCAAGTTGAAGAAGTATTAATCCTAGGCATATCATAC